AGGTTCCCCAAGAGGCTGGAGCGGACTCCCAACCTCCCTGAGGCCACCCTCTGGGGGCAGCAATTAGCTAAGCGGGGAGCTGTAATGGATGTGCCAACAAGTAACATCCGGACATGTGCAAAGGGTTTAGGATTCACAGATTAGAGCAGAATCGGGTTGTCCCTGTAATAGCATTCTGCCTCATTGCATCCTCTGTAGAACAGAAATAGGAAGCCTCTCCAGCAGTCCCTCATTGCCTCCTCCCTGCTCAACTCCTGGGAGGAGCTTGGCTGGGACACTGTCCGTGGTGCTGATGACTCCCAGCTACTCCCCCGGCTTGGGAGCCTTGATCTAGTTCTGTCCACACACTTTCCATTCCTAACAAGGAGCATTACGAACAAGGAAGAGGTGGAGAGGGCTGCAGGGAGTGTGCACTGGCCTCTGTCTCCATCCCTCAGGGCAGGGAGGGTGTTGTGGACATCACTGCAGGAAGTGACTCTACAGTCAGATGACCAAGTCCAGGCTGCCCACCAGCAGTTTGTAGTGAAGGAAGGTGATAAACACTCCAGATTAAGTTAAGGATCATGTGATGCAAGACTATAGTGGTATATCTCAGTGAGTCAAAATACTCACAAGCATTCTTTCTTATAAGTGACAGAGGGAGGCACGGGAGGCAGAGCCAGAGGAGAAGATGTGATGGGTGGAAGGAGGACACAGACTTCACGTTGCTCTGCTGGCTTTGGGTGGAGGAAGGGGCCACAGCCATGGGAGGCCGGTGGCTGCCAACAGCTTGAAAAAGCAAGGAAACACTCTCCTGGAGCCTCCAGAAGAAATAGCCAGGTCAGCACCTTGATTTTTGCTGCTTTACACCACTAAGCTTGCAATAATTTGGTACAACAGTGAGAGGAAACTAACAAGAGGTGTCACCTTGTCTAATCCAACATAGTGTGGGGATAAGGAGGGTCCTAGAGCTGAATAATGATGTGATATTTTGCAGGTTGCTTTTCTTACCTCTCATCTCATGACTGACAACACTCTGTCAATGGCAGACACACTTGTGAATGTGGGTGGGGTACCTTGGTGCTCAGACCACTTTTGTTTGTATAAATGTGGGCACTGCGATGCAAGTGAATCCACATGGGAAGAGCACCCAACCTGGGGCCTCAGGCAAGGACCAAGACCTGCTGGCCTGGGTGTGTGGAGGGGCTGCAGGTAAGGCACAGGTGGGAGGAGGCCCATGGACCGGGCGGAAGAGACACTCTGTCCCATCGCCATGGGAACCTGGGTGACAGGAGGGGAAAGCCCCCTGCCTCTGACCTGGACGCTTATTTGTGGGGAGGAGGTGTGTTTCAATCAGATCCAGTTCAGGGACAAAAGTGGACACTGATGAGAAGTACTGGGCTAGAGGTCACTAGCAGTGCCTGGGAGGGCCATGCTCAGGGCAGGAATTCTGGGTCTTCCCCACTGGGGTTACTCTGACAGCCTGTCTCTAAGTCACCCCAGAGGTAAGGACATCCTGAAAGCTAGCCTTGGACACAGAGACCTGCCCAAAGGTTTCAGTGAGCTGGATCCTGGATTTGGGGACAGGCAGGTTTATTGGTGAAGGCCACTAGTCAGGGCCACCAGGACTGGGGGAGGAAGGCCAAAGGACTCAGGACACCAAAAAGCTGTGCAGGGGTCCCACACCGGGATGTGTTCCTGCCCACAGC